GATTAATTACTTAAATGTATATAAATTATACGTTGATTCCTCAAATTATTCATTAAAAATTACCAATAGTTCCACTTATCTTTAATTTTTTACAGTTTATTAGTTTAATAATATTCAGTTTTCAGATAACGTATAAAAAAAAATAATCATGAAAATGTAAACGCATTTTATCTAATGTGCACTACATAAGTCGCATTTTTATTAACTACTCGATAAATATTTACTGGACTGTTGTCGATACTGCTAAATAATTTATTATTCGTGCGAAGCTTTTCGATTGAACACGATATTCATGCAAATGGCGTTATAGTGTGGGTTAGGCCATCATATTCCTAGACATTAATGCATTAATTTTTACAAAAGTAAGCAATGTGCAAGCATCTTAAACATTCGTCAAATGACAACGAGTTCGACGTTTTGTCTTCAGTACAGCACACCTACATACTATCTGCACGTTTCACATGTTGTTATGCATAATACTACAGTAATAATCTGAGCACGACACGCTTAACACAAGCAATATTTCTTTACTGTAATAGGTTTTTAGCCTTAAAGCTAAATCGATTCTTATTTCACACAACCGTAAAATCTTATCAAAAAAGATTGTCATCGTTCGCTAGTAACGAATTTGATATGCGACAAAATTCGTTTAAATTTTCTTCAACATCGCTAAATTACGGGGTATTTAATTTAATCGAAAATGTACTTAATCACAGTCAAGCTGCAGCCAAACAAAATAGAATATGGTTTTTTTCAGGTCCGTGTTCTTCTAGGCATAAAACTGCATATGATAACATTATAAAACAACCGCTGACCCAACGTATTAAATTTATAAATACACATCTTTATACGATGCCGGCGCTAGGTTTAGTGGGGACAAGGATTCCCCTGATCCAGGACAAAGGAGATTGAAGTAGTATAGATTTCCCCAATAAAAATTATTGCACGGTGAAGATATTTTTTTTTCTTTTGGAGGGGATAATAACATTTTTTCTTATATATAACCTCCTAAAAAACAAAACCCTAACTACGCCACTGCTATGTGCGAGGTCCGAAGCATGTTCCTCGCTCGCTCTGACCTCGTGCTGGCATTGCCTTTACATATCTTTATGCATATACACTTGATTTACTACCCGAGTACATAAAATATATTACAAAGTATATGTATTATTAAAATGATCATGCCTAGACTTTTCTAGACATGACAAGACTGACAAAACAACTAAGTACTTCGTACATTTTCAAAATTCAATACCCATTATGCTACTATTATTTTTAGTCGTTATGAAAACCTATGATGATTATTATAACAGCGGTATACCTTCACCAATCTACGGTCAGTAATAAATACGTCTCATTAACGATGATTACAGTATTTAAGGAGGAAAAATCAACTTGGGGCAATTGATATAAACTATGAATAAATATAGTCTACTTTAAGACATAAAAATGAACATAAATACCACATGATTATTATATGTACATTATGCGTTTCTTAGAATTACAAGAGAGACGACTTCCCTCCTATATTCAATGTAATATACTTCATAATATGATGGGTGTCTTTTTAAACAGTGTTAAATTAGATGTTACTTTGTTAATTTATTCTGTACTAAAATGTATATATTTTATTTTATAAAAAAAATCATACGATCTTAAAATTAAAATTTAGTTATTAAACTAAGTAATATAGTTATTGGAGTCATGGCTCGATTAAGACATTTTGAGTTACGGGGACAAAGTCAAAATGGCTACTAAAATAAACACTTCATATAAAAAGAATTGATCACTTGTAGCTTATATTATTTAAAACTTGAAAATATTTAACTCAAAACGCCATACAAATTACTAAATAACCGCGGATACGTATTTCTAGAACAAGGTTACCATATCAACGCTAAAAGTATATTGACATCCCAAGCGAAAAATATTCTTTTATTAACCCCAGTGACCATATCATATAGTGCCGTTATCACATTTTGCTAATTTACACAATTTTAACAATTAATTTTTCAGTTAGCCAAGACCTTAATTATTCTTATTTTTAAACATTACCATTCCCTCCCTTACATTAAGTTCATTGTAATTATTTACGTTTTTAATTAGTTGTACAGTTTTAATAGAATGATTATAAATGGTAAGCCATAGGCGATTTATCAACTTCTTGAATTTTAATATTTCTTAAGTGTTCTTTAAACCTGACCCCTATGTTTCTTTTGTTTGTTCTACGTAATATGTTTTACAACTTTCACATTATATTTTATAAATACCCGACTTCCCCTCTTCTTCAAAGCATTAAATGATAAAAAAATGAACAAAAATAGGTAAATATGGACTTGACTGAAGTAGCAAGAATTTTATATGAATAAACTTTGCATACTAAAAAGTAATAAAAAAAACTTCTTCATATATAATGACAAAATTAGTATAATAATTAAATAATTTCTATAGAAAAGTTTTACTAAAATATTAGTGATGTTACAAATCCTTATTTTTTGTGTCGAACCATTCAATTTTGAATGGTTCGAAAAAAAAAAAAGTTCAGTTCAATTTTCAAACAAAGTTCGATTTGGTTCAAACATCACTTATGTATTAAAACACACTAAAGAATTCTTTTTATTAAAAAAAACGTACTAATATTGCTAGAATATGTAAAATCCAAAAGAGATAATGATTATCAACAAATAAAAACAATGTTACGGTCATAAGTATCAAGTCATACGAACAATTTTAATCGCATTATTTTTGTTCAACATTTGATTTCTTTGGCACAATAATAGTTTTTTTGGTCTGGTCACGTATTACCTCCGGTTTTAGGTCGATTCGAAAAATATATTTAAAAAATGGCCAACCACCAACGCCGCCAAACGGACCGGACCGTCCCGCAGAAAAAGAGAGAGGAATAAAACGTGTCGCATAAACAACGGTAGAAAAGAATTTAAAAAAAACGGGCGGTTCAAGTCGTGTGACCTCGATCTGGATTTACGGATTCATCGTATATAATATATTTGTAATGGTTCAAATCGAAGAAAATGAAATTTAGCGACATTGAAGTATAAGCAATCTTAATCAAAATAACCAAAGTAAAATTGTCTTTATTTACTATGATTGCTAAGGTACAAGTATTTTATAATTTACAGCATGTACAAACTTAAATGCAAGTCGTTCAGATTACAATGATCCACTTAATTGCTAATGTTTATGGCTAGGGCTGGGAATTATTTGTACTTACAAATTTTGTTTGAGCCGTTTTGAAGAGTCTCAAGTTTGCAACTTTGTCATAAGATTATGTAGTAACGTAGAAATATTTTTCATTTAGGGGAGACAACCCTCTGTCCACCCTAAAATTATAATCTCAGTAACAACAAATTACTAAGTTTTCGAATCAATTAATAAAAAATATTTGCTGGCGGTGACGTGATTATAATAACTTAACAAAATGTATAAATACATATTCCCAGTCCCATTATGACCTTTTATTCACAGACACGAGCCCTTATAATAAATTCTTAGACTATAGAGACCCATTTTGCAATTATTTTACTCATTTTACAATTATAAACAATGATTAATATTTAGTTGACAAAACATTGGCAGTATTTCAAGAACCTTAGAAAACCCTTTAAAAAATGAATTTAGCTCATGAAATTCAAACAAAATGAAATTTAATATAAGGTAAAACAATTTTTAGGGAAGGAGGTATTTAGAATATAAATCCACTGCATTGAATTATATTGGACCATGTTATCTGATGAAAACTTATAAAGGAAAGAAGTGTGACTTTGTTTAAACAAAGTGATACTTCTTCTGGCTCCGGCAGGTTTACTAACCAAATCTAAGTAAAAAATATCTAGACTTTTCTCGGTAATCTGTTGAACTAATTTTTTTACAAATAATACTTATATAAAATAACAGGAAAATGTTATTTCTACTTTAAAAACCTAAAAATTATTTATTGAAAGTTTTACTATCTAATATAAAACTATGGTATTATGGCAATACAACTTAAATAAAAAAATTAATAAATCATTTAAGTAACAAACAAACGGAGATTTGAGCTTTATAACCTAACCTACTTAATGAATAGTTATACTTAATAATTTTAGTAATTTGTTGAACCATCTCAGTTGGAGAACTAAGATTTTGTCAAAAATATAATACATGGGAAAATTACTCACTACCCCTTATAAGAGGAAAAAATTATATCTTCACCATGTAATTATTTTTGTCATGGGTAGAGAATATAATACCCATATCCCCCTGTAATAACGCCAACGGAACTTTTTATTTAAATTTTCATTAATTTTCAGAAAATACGAGAAAAAAAATTACTTTTGAAGTTAAAACTTCCATCGAAAAAATTCTGGCTGCAATATTATGATGGTATTATTACTATAATTTCATCTTCGAAAAAAAAAATTTCTTATGCCCATACTTTAAACGTATTATACAATGGCGTATTTAGGGTACAACAACCGGGACATATGCTCAACTGTCTTTAACTTGATTTTTAAAATATGTTTGTGCCCATTAACAAATCCTAAACACATCCTTAATAGTATAAAATTATTTAATAACTATGTTTACTGATAATTATTAGTAAATATAATTTATCCAAAATTAAAAAACAATTTTTCGCAATTCAATCGTAACGCATATTTCCCGCACATCATCTAATTAGTCACGAACATTTTTAATTTGGTTTGTACAAACACTAATTAGATTAAGAAAACTTCATCCGGTAATTTACCTCGGTTTATGTAACAATTACCAACTAAAATCATTTCCAATCTCAATTCATTTATCTTCTACTTGTATCATAAAATTCATCATCATATTATCCTTAGAAAAAAAATCATGGAATAATACAGTATGAGAAAAAATATTTATTCCTTATCTCAACGAAATTTGTTTAAACTATTTAGACGTTTTTTCTCATTCCAAATTATTAATTATGTATTTTTTATTTATTAATATAAAGAATGCATCACAATACTTACCAACACTCTGGTGACCGTCATAATTATTGTAATCCACATAATGATTATAATGATTTATTAACACACCAAAATTAAAAAAATAAATGTTGTTTTACTTGTGACGGAATAACAAGTTTCACAAGCTGTCAATACACATAAAGCACTTGGATAATTAAACAAAGTACAATTCAAAAATAATAAATGAGACGATTCTTAAATCGAAATGAACGCACGTTTTCGCAGACAATCGCCGCGTGCTACTACACATGCGGACACGAAACGACTGATCGGTAGTACACATCGGTTGATACTTTCTACGGAATTGAAATAACAGTGTTGTTAACGCGGATGACAAGAGAACGGCCATGCCGGTAGAACTATCGACATTTAACGTTTTATTTTTATGCTAAAACCATTAAATGAAATTCGAATGCATTAGATTAAATTATAATAATAACATACAAATATTTAACATTTCATCTACACACGGGGAAACTGAGTACATTTGTAAAGGCGAATAACCTATAGGCTGTTATAATCTTTCAAAATTTATATCAAGTAATTAGTCGTAAAGCGAAAATAGGAAGTCTAAGCCCTCCTCCCTGTAAACGTAAAAACTATATTCATTTTTATATAAAAATATGTTTAAGGAAGGGGGAATTAATATAGCACCCCAATATTGACTTGATTTTTTTCGCGACTATATAATATTTAGTGGGTACCAAAATTCAATTCGTATGGTTGACTATACTTTTTTTAATCGAGGACGGCGCGAGGAGGTAATATAAGCATAGATGCCCAGGAGTTCTGAAATCGTAATATTATTGAAGGGCCTCGCATAAGTATTAAATCATTTTGCCCAAGACGGGCAGATACAAGTTCACTCCTCCGCATCTCGATGCGCTGGGGGTGGAGATCCCGCTGACTTATCTGGGTCTGGTAGTAGACAAACGTCTAAAGTTCGGGCCGCACATTACCCGTGCGGCCCAACGGTCCTAGAAAGTCATGAATAGCCTGGCGGGACTCATGCCCAATCTCTTAATCAGCGTCGTACATTCGGTCTTCCTCTACGGGTCTACATATCGTCTCACCCAAGTGATGTCCGGCCACGGCTGCTTTAACGAGTACTTACACCGTATTCGCAAAGTAACTGCGCCGACGTGCGACCACTGTTCGGATCGTCCGGGAGAGGCTGACAGCGATCTGCACACACTCTTCCGGTGCGAGGTGTGGGCCCAGGAACGGGACTCTTTGGAGTCTCGACTAAGGTTCATGTTCCCAGCCGGGTCCATGGTGGACCTGATGTTGAGGAGCCGGGAACCATGGAAGCTCGACCAGGCGTTCGCCGAATCCATCTTGAAAAAGAAGGAGGAAGCAGAACGCCAGAGACAGAGGCAGCCACGTCGCCCGACACATGAAGACCTGAGGCGCTAGTCTAGGTTGGGGTGCCTTAAGTTCTTATTTTCGTGTTTTGTGATTTATTTTGCCAACCCTCCCTAACGGTTCCCACTCTGGGATCCGATTAACAGGAGGGGACCACACCGCGTTATGAATCAGCTCTTGATTAATTTCAGGCTGATTCACAACGTTATGGCGTGAATCATATAGACGGCGTGGGCCGCCCTGAAGTAATGCCTAACGGCAGTTCCAGGGCCGCCCTCAGTAATGCTGACCGTCTATAAAAAAAAAAATCTAGGAGAGTCATATCCTTTATAATCCTCTCTCCAATTGTTGTTAGATAATTAAATAATAATAATAATAATAATAAATAATTAAATAGCTATTTAGGTGTTTTCATTACTTATTCTAATTAATCACGTAAATTAAATTTTTATTGGTACAAGTTTTTTAATCAGATTGAAAAAAGTTGAGACAAAAATGGTTTTATAACTATCAATATTTAATGATTTTTTCGTGATTTTCATAACTATCCCAATTAGTGAATGCTGAATTGACTATTAAGGGTCAATCCAGCACTGGCCATTCCCAAATTTAAGAATTATTTTAATTTTGCTGCGTGTATGTTATTGAAAAAGGGTATTATTTTTAAGTTCCTACTCAGCCTCTTAAAACAGATCTGACAATGGATACAACATACACAAAGCCACATTTTAGGGGGCATTGGAGTACTAGTGCCTAGGGAGAGACTGGAAAAAATGTTTAATTTGTAGTTAATGTTAAATAATATGAATTTCATATATTGAAGACCATTTTTTTTTACCCATTACTTCAAAAAAATTGAGAGTAAATCCAAATTAATTGGTTATTTATAAGGTAGCATTATGTGGAGCATCGGACGACACAATTCCTAAATGTAAGCCTGAACATACATATATTTTACATTTTGGTAAATCATATAAGAAAAAAATGTTCATATTAAAATTAAAAAAATATTTTATTATTTATTGAGTTAAAAAAATGTTAATAAAATTAATATTCTTCTAAATTTACAATTACAGGTGCTTCATCGTCATCATCTTCTTCTAATCCATTAAATTCCCATCCAAACTTATGTTGAAGGAATCTCTTTAACTGAGTTGAACCATCTTTAAGGTTATCTTCTATTTCAAAATCTTCAGTTTCCAAAGTCCTAAAAAATTCTTTAAATCCATTGTATATAACATTGTTATTTTCAACAATATCAACTAAAAAATCTTCTGGGATATTTTCCAATTGTTTACGAACAGCTAATAGAAATTTGACAAATATAACTTGATTCTGAACTACAGCATCTTTACTCAAACAGAATAATTGAAATAACATTTTCCATCTTTCAAATGATTCATAGTTAAGACCAATCAAAAAACAAATGTAACAGAACTGAAGTTCAGCCAGCAAATCTATTTTACTAAATTATGAAAAAAACTTTAGATAATAATTTAATCAAAAACAGTTTTTTGCTTTTCAGGTTGAAGACTGATGCAACTATATGATATATTTTTAAGAAATATAAAACAATAATTTATTAACAAAACTAAATGCTAGGCCTAATGAATAAATCTGATAGAATAATTCAATATTACACAGTTTGGTTATTAGATAATTTTTTTTAAATTCATATAAGTCTATTTTATTATAAAAAAACACAAAAGTTGTTTAATTAAATTGTAAATTTGCAATTTCAAAGTTGTGACAGTCCTCCACCAAATAGAAATATTGTAATATAATATTAAAATATTACTTTTCATGTTTCTCAGTCATTTTTTGTAGTATATAAGAAGAATCCAGTGAATGTTTAGTTATTTCTGACAGTGATGAACCTGAAGGATAATGGCATTCTGGTGGTTCAGTAAACCTTAAAATAAAAAAGAAAAGCGTAAGAAAAAGAAGAAAAAGCTATGATATGGTATTTATAAATTTGGAGAAAGTGTATGATAGAGTACTGAAAGAATTTTTAAAATGGGCATTAACAAGAAAAGAATTCCCGAAAAGGTACATTAATATAATAGAGGATATGTATGATGGCCCTTATACTAAGGTAAAAAGAAATGAACATATAAGAGGGAATATAGGTGTAGCGTCAATCGTGGATAAAATGAGAAAAAATAGACTTGGATGGTTTGATCATGTCATGAGGAGAGAGGATTTGGATGCTGTGAGATAAGTTATGGAAATGAATGTAGAAGGAAGAAAAGTTAGAAATTGAGGTAGAAAGAAAACAAAAAAAGTGATGGAGGGATGTTATTAAATGCGATATGAGCAAGGCTTTTGTGTGTGTAGATGATGTGGAATTTTGGGATAAGAGTGCCCAACCCCAAGTAGTTGGAATATAGGTGAAAAAAAAAAGAATCTAGATTATACAGCAATTATTATAAAAGCTGATTTCTTTTTAATATTTCTGAAATATGAAATTGTGAGCTAATTATAAAGGGTCACTTAAATATGGTTTATATATAACTGTGTTTATTGTTGGAGACATTAAAAAATTGAAAATTTATGGTCAAAATATTGAGACACTGTTTTAAATGATCTAAGAATTTTTCTAATATTAGAGATCATAAAACTTCCTAAGTTTGAATTACCTGAATTGACTTTCTGCTTTGGGAACTAAATTTGGTAAAAGATCACTTCCAAAATCATTTTCACTTTTTACAGGACCCCATGGCCTTCTTTTTTTAAGATTTTCATTTTTTGATGCAGGAAATAACTCCATTGCAGATCTAATTATTTGCGTTTTAGGACAAAGTTTATCAATTAATTTTCCTATAATTAATAAATAAAATAAAATTTTAAGTTTTGTAGAACAGTTTATCTACAACTGTATAAGTAATTTGAAGTTATTAACACTCTACTGTTATCTGACAAAATATTCTCTTTGTCAGATAAGGTAGAAATAGCCTTTTAAAATAGTAAAAAAGAAAGTATACAACTAAAAGATAAGCAATAGTGAGAAATTATTATTTTCAAGTAATATAGATTTTTTTTATACTCTAATTAGTATTTCTATGAAAAATCTTAATGGTATCCATAAAAAAACTAATTACCAGTGAGTAATGATGATAAACCATTCCATTTTTCTAATTCCTCAAATGGATATGGTCCTAAAAACTTATCTAAATTTAGAATATTTGTTTTATAGCGAACAATTTCTTCTCTAGACACATCCAATAGTTCCTCTTTGACAGTATCCCATTTCTTTACTAAGCATTCACCTTTAGTAAAAAAATGAAAAAAACCACATCTTGGAGCTGTATTTCCATATTGATCAATAGCACTGTAAAGATAGTTAACAAATATTATTCAATCAAAATAACCACTATTTGGTTAAAATATAATAGTTTTCTTAAAAGCTAATATAGAATTACAAAACACATTAAGTTAAAATTTCAGATTTCTATAATATTAAAATCAATTATAGATTAAAAAGGAAATAGACACTCTAGGGTTTATAAAGAGAGCCGGAAATTGAAATATTACATTTGAAAATAACAATTCTAAATTTTTTAATAGATTTTCACTACAATATTAAAAATATTCTAGTGTCTCAAATTAAAAATCAGGCAATATTTTTCTAAAAATCAATATATATGTAGAACTATTTAAAATTTTAACAATTCTATACCTATATTTGTTTAAGATGAGTATAAAAGATATGCATTTAGCATAATTTCTGAGTATTTACCTAGTGAGGTGCAAGTATTATTACAAGAACATCTAGGATTACCTGAAAAAGAAGAAAATAATAAACGCAAAGCGGAAAATAATAGCTTTATAGAAAATAAGAAATTTAAACATAATGAGTCTGAATACAATGCAACTCCAATAAAAGTTGATAAGGTATATAGAATCTAATTTTTTTTATTAAACAATCTTTTTAAATTGCAAAATTAAATTATTCATTTTTTAGGTTGATACTCCTAAATTAACAGCAAAAGAGACAAAGCTCTTCATAAAGCAGCCTCTGACACTAAAGTATATCATCAATTTTTAAAAAGAAATAATATTCAAAAGTAGTGGTTTTTTTTTCATTATAGTTTTACTATTTTTTTTCTAAAATTTTAATTATGTTATATTTTTCTAATAAAAAAAATGTTTCAATTATTTTTGAATTTCAAAATGGCTTTTTTTATCCAATTTCGTGGGTCTATAACAACTTAAGATGGAGTATTTATTGAATTAAAATTATTTTAATACAAAGAATAAATATGTAGTGATGATGGGTACAGATCGTTGTACTGGTATATATTAATAACATACTCTGCTCGTACTACTTAAACAATATATATTAAAATTCTTGTAATTCAATAAATAATTATCCTAAAAATGATGTTGAAGAGAGCTAAAATGTGGCCATTTAAAAACAAATTTTGTTAGACAATTAATAAAGTATATACCTTGATATAATAGTTAAAACTGAAAAAAGTAATTAAAAATAAATAGATCTAATCGAGAAAAAAAATGGTAAACAACAAATTTTGGACCAGTATTTCAAAAGTCATAGACAATTTTATATCTTGGAAAAAAAGTATGGAGAAACTACAAGTAATAAAAATAAAACACCAGCTTTTCACCACCATCTATCACTTTTAGAAGGATTATAGACAACAAAAAATGACTATCCAAAAAATATGTATAATAAAATTATATTTTAATTTAAAAAATTGTCCAATCCTCCTCCAAACAAATTTTATATACTCATACACCTAATTATGGTCTAATGTTAATAAATATAAAAATTACATAACATGTTTCTTGCTAGAACATTACTATTAATATTATTAACTATTTGAAATAAGCTTAGAAATAAACAAATAATATATTTTTCTTCCCTATCCATCAAACATACAATGCAGACTAGCTTCCCCCAAATAACACTGATTTTCAATTCTATTTGTAACAGAGGTCGCAGAATCTATTTACATTGACAAATGTACAACTCATAATATACATTAGTATATTAATAGATAAGTGACTAGAATTTTATGTTTTTTACATAGTGACACAAAAATACCAAGGAATGCAATGACACTTACAGGGACACCTCCAGGTGTCCCTGAAAATATAATCAAGCAATGTAAAATATATCTTACCTATAATAAATGAAATGTAAACCTTGAGGTATCATCTTTATACCTTTAAATTTTTCACCAGTAGACCAAGACATCATATCAATCCCAAACTCCATTCCAGACGGAACTTCTAAGAAAAAAGCAGTTGCGCCTTGCATTAATAAATTAATAGCATTCTCTTGATCCATTTCTAATAAATGTTTGAAATTTTAATACATAAACATTAACATTGACTTATTTAAATTTTCATGGTATGAATGAAGCATTAATTAAACAACAAAAACCGCAGAAAAAAAATTAATAAAGTTTTGAAAAAATTAATAAATAAAAATGTGAAACGTATTTGATAATTTTAATATTAATGATTACAATTCATTATCAATTCTTGGTAATGGTGTTTTCCCATTATCAATCATATTAATGCTCTCATTCGATATAATATATAAGTGATACAACATTCATTATGTTTAATATTGTTGAAAATTTGTTTCACTAATATGTTTATTCAATTATAACTATTTTAAATTGTAATTATTAATTTATTCAGAATTTACTTATCTCAATAAATAAAATTGCCTAGTATAATAACAATTGTTAATTTAATTAATAAAATACCCTCAAAAAAATAATGGAAAAAAATTTAGAACAAATGGGATATTTAATTTTAACTATGGATGGAGCTGTAATTTCTGTAAGGAAAGTATATTATTAAGCATAATTATCTCAATGTTATATATGTTAAAACTGTCAACTGTCCAAAATTAGAATATGAACTAATTTTAAGTTTTTAATATTTAAATAACTAAATGTAATCTTGCACTACATGATTTTATTTATCAAATCTCATAAGTACTTTTTCTAGTTTATTAAATAACATATAATTATATGTTATTACAATAATAACAATAATCGAAATAATATATATATTTTTAAATGAAACCATTCTTTCTTTAAATTCTTTTTATTATTTATTTTAACTTATTTACTATTATTTAAAATTATTTTTAGTCTGGTGGAGATTTGGAAAATAATGAACAAGTAGCTGATATTATTGCAAAATCAATTAGTATGAGCAAAAATTTAATGACATCTGATGATCACTATCAAAGCATGTCAAGTATATGAACATGTACTTTTTTTTAATTAATTAATTTTAATAATTTTAATTTTTTCCAGTCATGTATTCCAATTATCATTATTCCATATGCATGTCAAATAAAAAAATTCACATTGCCAAAATTAGACATGAATCACTAGCAATTGAAATTGATGAAATCAGAGTTATTTCAGAAACCAATCAATAACAATAACTCTTTTTAATAAAATCTTTTTTTTACAGTAATTAGAAAATACTTTTTCACATTTGTATTGTTTAATTACATATAATCAAAAAATCATATTTTATTTAAATCAATGACTTGAACAAAGAGTCATAATTAAAACACCAAATGCTCAAAGGCTTTGGTTCCACAATTTTTTTTAAATTAAGTTAAATAGCTACAGCTGACTTGCATAAAGGACGCTAAATTTTTTTTATTATTGAATCTTCATGTTATTCCGCTAATATTAATTAATTATCTTAAACAATATCAAAATATATTTAACTGAAATAAAGTTTGACAATCTTATCCTTCTAGTGAATAGTGGATATTTAACTTGGCTTAAGTTGTCAAAATATTTTTTTTTCTTTTGAAGTAAAATATATGTTTTAATTTAATATATGTCTAATGGACACAAAATTTTCAAAATGCTTCCAAAAGTTAACTCCTAATAAGCATGTTTCAATTTTAATACTTCTCCTTGTGAATAGGCAAGTTTTCAAAAGAAATAATTCAAAGAAAGGTACTTATTTGAAGACTTCTTAAAAAAAATTGTTACAATGATATGCCTTTAAGAATGTTCCCCAAATGAAAATTCCTCGGAATAGAAAATATTTCTTTACCTCGCAGTATATTTTCTCCCGAAAACTCAAATTTCAAGCATACTATATATGAGTTTATATACCTAACTAACAAATTGAGAAAAATAGTATTGATAGTTATTACAATTAAATTAAAATACTGGAAGTGAAGTGCAAATTTATTAATTTTTATTTTTTGACATTTCTGAACCATGTTTAATTCCCTCTTATAAAAATAATAGTTGTTATTGACTAGTTTTTTTTTTTTTTTTTTTTTAAGATAAAAAATTTGTTTTTATTCAAAAAAACTTAATTACAAACTATTTTAAGCGAAAAAGGGGATAGGATTTTTTTTTTTTTTAAATAACATAATATAAGTTATTATAAACTTCTGGAAAAAAAATTGTACTATGTTTTATACTTTTAAAGATGTTGTATATGTCATAGTTCAACAATCATCATATACATCTATGGCACACTCAAAAGCAGACGAGTCACAAAAATAATTTGTTTAAATATTAATAACATATTCATAATAGTATGGTCAAGTATGTTTTCTATTTTATGCCTAAAAAGTGACGAGTCAATTTTATTGAAATTTATTTATTTACTTAAAAAATCAGAATTTTATAAAACAATGCAAATTATTTTCTTGTTTTGCTCACTTGAACAATATATAAATTAACATATTAGCTTGAAAAAAAAAACAATAGGATAGCCAATATTTTCATAAGCCAAAAATTTGTTTACAAACTTTTTATGAACATGTTACAAAAATATGTTGCAAATGCCTCCAATGTTCTAGTCTATTAAAATATGATGATAACTATAGTTGTATATTCAACCAAGTTCACATAGCTACAAATTTGTATTTATAAAAATTTATTTTGATAAAAAAGAATATAAATAATAAATATATTAATTTTAAAATACACACTTAAAAAATTTTTAATTATTTTTTATATTATTTAAAAAAATTAAATATATTATGTCTAGTAAATAAAATAAATTACTTAAATAAAAATGTAAATACTTTGCAAATGATACATTTTTTTGTATTTCATTTGCATAAATAATTAAAATTTTAGAAAAAAAAATAGTAAAACTATAATGAAAAAAAAACCACTACTTTTGAATATTATTTCTTTTTAAAAAATGATGATATACTTTTAGTGCCAGAGGCTGCTTTATGAAGAGCTTTGTCTTTTGCTGTTAATTTAGGAGTATCAACCTAAAAAATGAATAATTTAATTTTGCAATTTAAAAAGATTATTTAATAAAAAAAATTAGATTCTACCTTATCAACTTTTATTGGAGTTTCATTGTATTCAGACTCATTATGTTTAAATTTCTTATTTTCTATAAAGCTATTATTTTCCGCTTTGCGTTTATTATTTTCTTCTTTTTCAGGTAATCCTAGATGTTCTTGTAATAATACTTGCACCTCACTAGGTAAATACTCAGAAATTATGCTAAATGCATATCTTTTATACTCATCTTAAACAAATATAGGTATAAAATTGTTAACATTTCAAAAAGTTCTACATATATATTGATTTTTAGATAAATATTGCCAGATTTTTAATTTGAGACACTAGAATATTTTTAATATTGTAGTAAAAATCTGAATCCCAAGTCTAAGAATTTCTCATTAGTTCACCTTTATTAAGAAGTAATACATTTCACATATAGTATACACATATTCTATTGGATCACTTAATTGCCTAAAAGGCACTTATATAAAAATATTAAAAAATTACTTTTTGTTTAAATAAAATAATTACCTTTCAAATCATGTAGGTTATTGTCTAATTTAAATGTAGATGAAACAGCTGCATTTGGGTTAACATTTATTTGTTTAAGCATTAAAACTTTAATAACTTTATCAACTTTCTTGTTTAACCATTCCATCATATTAATTTTATTTAATTTCCACAATTTGAAGCCAGTAGTTACTTTAGAATAAACAATTTAATTAGTTAAAATCTAATGCAAAAGCAAAGTGGCGTATTAAACTTTTGACATTTCAAGGCATTATACTTTATTAACTATGAAATTTATTGCTGACAAATTTTTTATAATTTGATATTTTTTTTTTCATTGTGTCACAATTTAAAAGCATAATAAGGATGACTATATTACATATTTGACACAACACTAATCTACCTGCCATTTTAGGCTATGGCCTTCATGGAACTAGAGTAAATATACCACTAAAAACATACTAATAGTTGTACCTTTATCATCACATATACTTGGTAAATTAGCAATTTTTGATATTTCCATTAATACAGTATTTAATTCAGGACATTTTTCATCAATTAAAATTTGATCCAATGGGCAAAACATTGAAGAAGACTAAAAAGTAAACATACAAATTAAATTTAATGTAAAATAATTTAAGTAAAATTATAAAAATAAAAAAACGCATTAGTTTTTTCCTTATAATATAATATATTATATTAGATTATCTGATAAAATAAGTAATAAATAGTACACTTATCCAAGACTGGGAGGCAACAGTCCAGAGAGCCACTATAATGGTGGTGGTAAATCTCATCTCAAAAATATTTCTATCAATAAAAATAAATGATGAGCAAAATAATTCAAAAATAACTTTTACACACTAGCATACTATGAAAATGCAAATTATAATGGGCCTCATTATTCTATATAAAGCAGCCCAAGGGGTAATTATACCCTTGCTCAGTTCTTCCCAATTCCTATGGTAAAAATTAGGGCTTTGAACGGATTAATAAAATGCCGATTAATCTAGATTACAGATTGAATCTGTTAATTTATAAAATAATCATTTTGTAAAAAAATATAAATATAAATTACTTGATACCTGTCATTATACATAGTTATTAAATTTCATATAATACAAATAATTTTGATAGATTTAATAAAAAATCTATATATATTATTTTTTATAAAATAAAATTAATATTTATCATTGTTAATAAAAATAAATAGTTTTATTCAATACATTTTTATGAAATTATCATTATTTAACAAAAAAAATAAAAGTTTATTCTTTATAAATCATCCTAGAAACTATTATGTTAAAATACATTTTACCTTTATATCCCATGTTCAAGAAAAAAAAAGTAATATATTTTTATAATTTTATGAAAAGAAAACACTCAGGTAAAGAAATAATTTAAATTAAGAATTTGAAAAGTAACTGACATTTTTAAACCTAGGCAAAAGGAAGAGTGAGACCAAAAAATATGATAAAAATACCAGCAGCTATTCCTCATTTCTAATCTTTACTTAGAATTGTTAATAAATTCTGAAATATTGGTCCAAAAGTTTGTAACAACCAGCTATATTCTTAATTACATCATTTTCTATTTTAGAAGCTAGTTAAATGTGTTTATTTCCATTAAAAAAAATAACATTGACACCTCGAAAATTACTTTTGATTTAATTAATTTTAAATTTGTCATTATATTGTTTCTATCACCTTTTTTAAGATTATTACTAAGTAGTAAAAATGAGTATTTACTTATATAAATTAATTTTGATTTTTAATATGTTAAAAATAATCTGCGTAGAATTTCGATTCAAAATGTTGAACTTTTAAACTTTTTTAATCTAACTTGAAAGTTTGTGATTGATATTATTAAATAGAAAATCTTATGAGGATTTAAAAAATTGTATTGTTTAGATAAATGTATGATCAGGAACTTATATAATTACTATTAACAGTAAATTTATGAGAAAAGCACAAAACTTCACTAAAATATTTTTTGTGTTGATATGGAATAAAAACAATTTCAAAAAAAAAAATTTTTATGTAACCTTTGATGTTTAAAAAGATACTACAATTGAAATATTCTGTATAGTTATATCAGATAGTATTGTATAATATTCAGAAATATTCTGTGCCTAGTTACACAACGATTTCGTCTGCTAATATGTAGTTGGATTTCATTCTAATCTATATTTTAGCTACGATGCGAAGCGAGTAGGTATTAATTTTACTATGATGTGTTTATTTATTAATTTTTTTCATTTTTTGTCTATTACTACCTTTTCTCAGCTCTCACAGAACTAGTTTCTACTAATGATACGTTAAAAGATCACAAATTGTATCTAGTCGAAGACATTACACTTAAAAATTTTCCTCATTCTTCGTAAATGGAGAAAGTCCCTCAAAAAATAACGATTTTACAAATGGGTAATTTTCAACATTTTTTATTTAAAACTGCCATAACTTTTTGAAAAAAAGGATGAATAAAAACAATTTTTTTTTTTATAGATAACTTAGAAATTTAATTATCATTTGGTGTACTTTCTTTTTATCTGACCATTTTCTTGTCCACGAGAAGAATTCAAAACGGCAACTTTTACACAAAAAATTAACTTTATCTATTTAACTTCATAAAATGTTTCTGAAATATCGAATATTATTTATACTTGTCCCACCTATATCACATTCACACTGTGTTACAACTCCACAGTGCTACCGTTTTAAGTATATAACACTCAATACATATGACATAAAGATATTAGTTATTTTAAAGTTTATTTAATTTCTCTAAAAATTTTATGAATATTCTTTTAAAATATTATATCTTATTACGTATTAGGTCACTATGTTTTAGGTAATGCTTTACAGCTTTTCCCCAGGGTAGTTTAAGGATATACGCGAAATACACATAAAAAAAATAAAGGAAGTCCTGAATTTCTATTGAATTAATCAGGCATAACTAAAACAAATAAACTGGTATGAGGGCATATTATTCACTATTTTATAAAATATTTTAAATTAAAATAAGTAGATATAAATATATTTATTTAAAAATTATATATAAATATAATATCTCAATAATTTTGTAGTCTAGCAACAATCTAAATCGTTTCTGTCAAATAATATATTGTCAAATCTATTTTAATGAAAATGTCTTAAAAATGACTAAGAGTCGTGATTTGTTACTGAATTGAATTGTTAAACAAATATAACAATATGAAGTACTTAAAGTTTTTTAACAGGGCTTTCACAGTGAACAATAAAGTTGAAACGATTAACATCTTAGTAAATAATCAAGTAACCAATAAATTCAAAAGAAATTGCAAGAACTATATAGACCTCAAAGTAGCTAAGAAGAAAGCAAGTATTTTGAAAGACTTGCTTGTCTCAAGACAATATGCAAGATTTTTTTGCGAGAAAGAAAATCTAAAGACATCATTAAAGATTAATGGAAATGTTACGAATGAAGCATCTGGTGGTTTGGTGAATTATAATAATCATTTTGGCTAAACCTTTCCTACATCCTATGCATAAAAATCTTAATTACTTTTGATGTACTGGTGCAAATTTTGTTACAGACTAGTCATTATCTTAATTAGATTATTTCATATTTAAAAAAAAAAAGTTAAATATGTCTGTCACTATTAAAAAAAAAAAGTTAACTCCTCTATAATGTACAATGAATAAAATAAAAAATGAATCGAGAAATATTTGAGACTAAAAAATAGTTTTTCTAACATAATTATTGTTTTAAAAGTAATGAGTGAAAAAAATTTCATTAGATTGTAATTAAGTTTCTTAATAGACTACTTTTTTTTTAAATATTTTTCAACCACAACATTCTTATAAAAATACTTTATTCTACTTACTTTGGTTAAGTATGGCAAAAGAATAAATAACGGATTAATCGGTGTAATAAAATCAATTTTATTAATAGGAATAACTTCATTTTTTTGGAATAAAGTCCTATAAAAATATAAAATTATAACTAAAAATTATTGAAAACCTTACTGTGCTCATTTTAAATATGGCATAAAATACCTGTGACTGAAAGGTAATGACCTTATTTGTGCTAATGTATTTTCCTCAACTGAATACAAAAACTTAACAAATTCATTTGTTTGAGGATGTCTTAAATCAATAAACTTCGCTCTTTCTATTTGACAATTTGTTAAATTATCTAAAAATATTATTTAAAAGATTCATAAGATTTTAAAACTCATAATAAAAAAAACAATAAAACGAAATACCTGGAAGGATGATTAATCTATCATTGTTATATTGATCAATAAGTGTACTATCTTTTTTTTTTTCCACTTTTTTACTTCGAGGAGCCATTAAAAATTTTAATTTTAACTTAAATGTATTTTTACTAATTTCTGTCTTCAAACATAACAATAAATATTTTTACTACAAAACACATGACAAAATGTACTTTTACGTGTAATGAATGAAAATTCTTCTAAATATGAAAAATTGATAAAATTAAAGGCGGGAAATTGACGTTTATGACGAAATGTCTGACTTAATCATAATACAGATAAGATAAAATAAGATTTATCTTATCTGTGGTCATATTAATAATAATATTATTGATAATATATCTACAATATCCCTATTATCAAAGTACAATTTGATTAAAAAAATATCAAAGTAATAATAATAAAGTTAAATCACAGATAATATTATATCCGTGATTATATTCTGTACTACTGTACTGACAAAAATATATATTTCTTTATGTTGTCATTAGACTAAATTATGATTTATTCTATGTAATTTTATCTACTCAAGTAGTTATTGAAAAATTAATTTTTGTCACTTATTGATTGGATTAAATTTTAATTACAAATAAAGATGGCTCTCCGAGTTTTACTTGGCAATAATTATATTAAGTATAATGTACCATCAATCCTTCTTCATGTAAGTCATTTTATATAAATATATATTATTTTATATAAATTTATATACAATTATTTACTAATAGAAATAACGATTTATATTAATTTTAGTATTAATACAAACTGAAAATACCATACATAATTTAATATATAATTATTTTATGTATAATTATAATTTCAGTTTCATGTGTTAGCAAAAAAAATTTCACATGAGTTATTTTTCAAAATTATTTGTTACTTTAATATAGAATTTAAACAACTAATATATAGATACAAAAAAAAATCTATAAAAATAAGAGTGTAACATTTTTTTGTATGCAATCAATGTTAATAGTTGATGTTATTTTGAAAATTTCATATTTGTGTTAAAATCCAATGAACTTATCATACTTAAAATGTTTATATCAAACATTATATAGATTCAGTACACAAATAATTAAAAACAAAGTATAAACTTAGATTTTTTTTACATTTTCAAAATTTTTTAATTATATACTTGAATAGAATATTAATAAAGTATAATAAATAACATATATTAATAATAATAACTAATTCATTTTTAGCGCAACATGTATACAAAAGAAAACTTTACAATTTGTAAATACTGTATTATTTGTTTTATTTTTTTGTAAAAGTAATATAAAACATACATAAAATTGCAAAACAGTATCCTAATAACAGCTCTGTCTAAAACCAACAGATTTCAATAAAATGTTCAGGGTACCACTTAAATATCTATAAACAAGCCTATTAAAAATTTCAGGTTTTAATTAAATATAGACTGGTTGCATTAAATAATTTTTTTTTTTAATCTGACCTTTTGTAACGCATTTGAAGTACTAAAGAAAATTTTCCAATCTTCACTATTAGTTTTCTCAAAATAATGTTACTAAGCTCTTTTATTTTATGGGATAACACCCATTTTAAGTTATAGTTTACAAATATATATAGTTAGTACTGTTTGTTAATAACATTTCATTAGTAACGGATAAGAGCTTATGGTTATGGAAAACGTGAGTTACACTTGATGCTTGACTAATATAATATATTGGTCAAACATATTGTGTACATTTAAAGGAATAATACTTCGTAAATTTTGTTAATTGCATTGGGACACATAGAAAAAATAGTAATAGTATATCTGAACCATCAATAAAATCTTTGAATAATTTATAAACAAATAGTCATTTAGTTTTCTAAGATTTTCTAAATATAATAAGTTAATATTATTAATTACATTTAATGCAAGAGAGTTTATTTTAGTTTCATTTCAATACTTTGTAAAATTTATTTTGTATGTTCTTAATCTTATTAATATGTTTTGAAAGTGAGATTCCTGATGATACTGGAGTAATCAAGACTAGATCTAACAAATTATACATATAATATTTTGATAGCATCAGGTTTGAAATCAGAGAAATGTCTCTTAATTAATCTAAATTGCTATGAGCATAATTAGCATGTGATCAATATTGGTCTTTAAAACTTAAAAAAATATGTTTGAAAACCAATGCTTGTTAAATAACTTTTTCAATAATAGCAAATTTTCTCTTTTTCATTATATAATATGATTTTATAATTAAAATTAATTAGTAATCAATTTTTTTTCTTTACAAAAAAATGAATAGTGTTAAATAGGATCATTATGTTCAATATGCAATTATTATTTAATATACTTTCAGAAATTATTGAATAAACGTGATTCATCATACCGTTCTAGTCCTATTGCTCAAGATCCTTCTCACTATGCAAAATTTAAGGTAACTTCAGATCCAAAAGAATGGCAATATGTTGAAAGACTTCTACCACCAACTATAATTCCACCTCCTCCGCAAACTAAAAATCTACCTTCTGGCTGGAAGCCTCAAACTGGTAATTTAATAATTAAAATTATAAATAGTTTATTTAATGTACAGAAAGGACAATAATATCTCAGCAAATGCTTCAAGTTGTCATGAAAAATCTTCAAAACTGTCTCCCTTGAGAAAAACTTGATTTAATCAATACAAATATTAAAAATTATCAATACTATAACTAAAACAAATGCCTTTTTATATGGATTACAGTCATGGGTGCAACTAGCAGGGGTGTTGAGGATACTGCAGCAGCCCCAGTTCTAACTCAATAAATTATGTGAAAATAACTTTTTCTCGTTTTTTCTTTTTATTAGTAATGAACAATAAACAATTTTTTTTTACAATTTGAAACGTCTATGTAGTTATTTTTATAATAAAAAGTATGACAAAGTGAACCAAAAAATTATATTAATATAATAATTTATTAGTAAAAAAAGGTTTTTTCCATTTGTTCATAATGGCTCCGGTAAATAATTATAGATGGAATGTTACTCAGAGGTGTGAGCATAACATAATTTCAGCAGCCCCAGAATTCTTGTTTTAGACTTTAATATTCAAAAATTTACATTCATTAATTCTAGACAGTAATTTCAAAATTGTTTGATTTATTATTGTGCTCTTAACAAATAATTTGTAGTTTTATTAATTGTATTATAAATAGAATGAACATTTTCATATTATACAGATATATTACAATTGTTTTATAGTACTCATGTCACTATACTATGAATATTGATTCCTATTATAAGAATTATTAATGTATTAAATTCTTAAAGGTTTTTTTTGGTATGATCATTTTATCATTTATTCTTTTCCAAATTTTCTTATATAAAATACTAACATAATTATTGTGATGTTTCATTTTTAGCTAAATTTGGTCAGTATCCATACTTTGTACATCGTACTCGCAATCATATGCTTCCTGTTTACTTAAAAATATCCATGAGAGGGACCAGACGTATTACACAAATTAATAATATTGATGGAAATATATGGGCTCTGGAAGAAACACTTAAAAAATATTTAGAAAAATTATATGGTAGTAAACAGATTATAGCTACTAAAGTACATGAGGTGTGCGGTCAATTATGTTTTCATGGGGATCATGTTACAAAAATAAATGATTGGCTTCACAAAAAAGGATTATAATGTTTTATTATTATTTTTGTAATAATTATGAATTATTTTAATACATTTAAATATTGCACTTTGACATCAATTTATTTTCATGTAAATAATAGTTATTACAAAAGTTTAGTAAAATATCTATAAGACTAATAAAAATACTGATATTTAATATTCAAAATTAAATAAAAAAAAGTATACAAATTATTTTTTCATGTAATACGGTTCTTTATAAATAAAAAAAGACTGTTATTTTTACAAATTCAAGTAGTCAAATACAATTTTTGATACTAATTTTATACCAAAATTAATTTATAATAATATATATTTTAAATATATAATTCACAAAAATCTATTTTATACTTAATCTAAATCACATTAGTAATTAATTAGGACATTAGTTAACAAACATAAAATAATGTTTAAGTAAAAATGTAATATATATATATATATATAGAAAACTATAATACACAAATAAAAAGTTATTATAATATATTTAAATAATTGTTCAAGTTCAAAATCATAAAAAATTAAGTAAAGTTTTGACATAAAAATATTATATTGATGAGCAATATTAACAGGACTTTAACATCAGTCTTGTAAGTTTTTCTTGAACATTTATAAATAAATTTTTAAGATTCAATCAGTCTTGAAATTATCATACATAGTTTTCTTCTTTAGTATCCTTCGAACGCCATGTTCTTGGTGTATCAGGAGGTATAGGCATAGCTCGCCTAGATAATGAATTTATTTCATTTTCTGAACAATTATTATTATGATTTGTTAAATATGAAATTTCTATGGCATTCTGTAAAAAAGAAAAGTAAGCTTAATAATTTTAAAAATGTTTTTATAATAAATTCATTAATAACAATTAAAAAAATTGCACAAGGTATCTAAAACAATGTATGATTAAGTATATAATTTAAAAAAACAACTACAAAGATATTGTATGTAAATAGAAGCATTTAAAAAATAATTGTAATTATAATCAATTTAGTGAAATATTATATAAATTCTATTTCACCTTTGCATCTGGAGCAAGTGGATTGTTTGTAATGTTAATGGGATGAATTATATATCCATTAGATTGGTTATTATGGGTGAGATTATGGTCTGTTGTTATTGGTACTGCACAACCATTTATAATTTTTCCATTATTTAAAGCAAATCCATTCATTGATAAAGGTTCAAGTCCTGATACTGCTTCTGAACTCTTGTTTAGTTCTAGAATTTCATAAAAAAAAATGTTTTCTATGAAAATACATATTTTTTCTCATTATTATTAAATTTATTTATTATATATTATTCATTTACATTAAAAATATATACATAGATGAAAATTGATATATATTTTAATTCTTGTCATGCACACAAGAAAAACAGCAACTGTCTTTTACTGCTTTTTCAAAAGTTCAAAAATTTGATAATAAACTTTAGAGACAGTATGGCCTAGTCAGTAATGTGGCAGTGCTTGATGAACACTGCTTTGGGTTCAAATTCAGTCACAGGTAGTATCATTTTCCGAGTAAGAGATCAGTTTGGTAATTGATATTTATTTATATATAAAGAAATTCATCATTTTAATATTGTGATTTAATTTATTTTTTGAGCAGAAAAACCTTAATTCAAATATATTAATATTTAAAGTTTAGCTTTTAAATTACTGCCATGGGAATAAAAATATTTAATACATATGTATAAATATTTAGAAGTTTATTAAGAAGTTATTAAGTCAATAAGATATAAAAAATGAATAGATTTTAATCTTGTTAATATTTTAATAATATAACTTCTAATTTTTTTAAAAGATACTACCAGTATGCACATAAGTGATTCTTCTAATGCATTTCTAATATATATATCTAGTGTCAAGACAGTACAATGTATAGTAGGGATTAAAAGTTTTTTCATAGTATAATTCCACTTATATAAAATAATAATTTCAATGATAGGAAGTCATTCAAGTAATAATAATTGTTATAAAAAAAAATTCCATACTTTATACAAGTTATAATAATGAAAAGATTATATTTACTTCTACTCTTTTCTTTATAACATATAACAATGTTCAATACAGTCAAAAAAACATGCAAAAATTCAAATTTTTACAAATATTAAAAGGTACAGTAACTGAATACCAAAAAATACATGAGATATTTTTAAACTATTTTGTTTAAAAAATTTTAAAATAAAATACATTGACATTTTTTATAGCTTCTCTTTTCTTTTAGCTTTTACATAAAACTAAAGTTATTAATTTTACCGTAATGTGTTAATTTTAATTTTATTATTATTATTTTTTTTTTGTGCCTGTCACTACTTTTTCTCAGCTCTCACAGGATAAATTATACTCAATGATAAATCAAAAGATCAAAAATATTATCTAGTTGAAGACATTACCCTAAAAATTAAACATTTTTACCTCGTTAACTATAAATGTTAAAATTAATAAATTATGAAAGTTCAAGTATAAATGTAGCGTTATTTTATAAAATAATTTAAGTAAGAACAATTTAATAGATTGGGGTATACTTCTCTTTTGAGGTTTAGTGAATTTTTCAAAAAATTAAACGATAAATTCTCTCATGAGTATATTCTTTTATAAAAAGTGTAATTTCTATACAAAGAACTATTAAGTAATTTATTAAGTAATTTACATAACAGTTTCAAGAAAGCATTCTTAGTGTCATAGTGTCATTTGAAAGTTCAATTCATTCAAATAATATTAGAAGAGGACTTCTGGTTAAGTAATTTTATTTTTTAGTGGGATTATCACTATACATCTAAATTGAAAAGTGTACATAACACTAATGAAAAATTTAAGATTGTGGAAAATATAGTTATGTATAGTTAAATGAAAATTAATAAATTGCGAGATCTAATCGTTATTGTAATGAGGTTTTCTTAAGCACTGATACGTGTGGTAATTCTGTTGCCAGAGAAAGGGATGACAACTCAAATTACCTAACTGATCTCACTCAGCAAATGATACCACCAGTGATTGAATTTAAAACCCAAAGCAGTGTTCATCAAGCACTGCCACATTACCGACTCAGCCACACCATCTCTCTAAAGCTTATTTAGTGAATTAAAAATAAAATTTGTTAATAAAAAATATTTTACTTATTATGCTATTACTTCAGTTTCAAATTTGAATAATAATAAAAAAGTAAAAAAAAATTCCCTAAATAAAAAATTATTAAATTTGTCATATCTTGTTCTGTATAAACATCAATATCAATTTTTACCTGTAGTTTGAGATGAAACACGTCTACTATACATAAATACTAAGAAGAATATTAACAATAATATAGCTCCTACAACTAATGCTATAGCTCCAAGTAAAACATACAATGATTTCATGCCATTAATAGTTGAATTAATATTATTATTTTCAATTGTATTATCAATCCATTTAGGATTATCTGTTATAGATTTTAGTTCGCCTGTTAAAAAAATTTAATTAGATATTGTTAATAAAATATTTTTCAAGAACATATAATTCAGTACCATAAGTTTTATTTATAAATATTGCACTAAAATTGGACGCTTCACGAACAGTGAAACTTTGCATTTTTATATCATATGACGTGTTTGGAGATAAATGTGTTACAATAAAAGTACGAGCATCTTGACCATCTACAATAGCTTTTGTATAATCTCCTGCAGTACTGGTGGCACGATAATATACATAAAATCCTTGTACTGGCACCAAAACCGAATTTAAATACTAAAAACAATTTGATGATATAAAAAAAAAAAAAACTATTTAATACTACTTCTATTATTTTTTTTACCTGCCATTCTAATAAGATAGAAGTGTTATTAACTGGTTTAGCAGAAACCAATGTTGGTGGTATTAAAGATCTATTTGGAGGACCTTTATTCAAAAAAAAGTGTTCTGAAACTGATCCTAATTTATGATCATCATTTGAATAAACAGCAGCGACACGAAATCTAAATTGGTTAAATAATAATTAGGGCACTTATTTACATAAATTTGTAAATTTTGTTAAGTTATTCAAAACACACTATCAGCCAGTACAATTTTTTGTTTTTTTAATAATTAGAGAAATTAATAACATGTTGTTACAGATATTATAGTAATATAGTATAGGAGGGTTTATTCCTCTTAAAACAAAATATATTTTTACACTACTCATAGGTAGCACAAAATTAGGACCCTTCATAATGGCTGGAACAAAATTTATCTATGCATATAATTCCATGCCCTAATAGTAATATATAAATCATAAAGTATTATAGAAATTAAGAACCTTTGAATTATTATTTAGAGAGTTATTATCATTTTAGACATTGACTGGAAGTAAGGCAATATTTATCATTAGATATTTTTCGGTAACATCTGTCATCTCACCTATACATAAAAATCTTAATTACTTTCTAAGTCCTGGTCCAAAAGTTGTTAAAGACCAGTTATTATCTGAATTAGATTATTTTACATTTAAATAAATAGTTAAATATGTATGTTGTCATTTAAAAAGTAAAGTTGACTCTTATAATGTATAATGAATAAATTAATATCTAATAAATGAAAAAAATATAAAACTAAAAAATAATTTTCCTAAAACTATTATTTCAAAAGTAATCGAATTGCTAACATTAAAAGAATCATTATACAGAGTGTATATAAAAATAGACCACTTTAAATTTTTTGTAACTTAAAATATTTATGAACAAACTTATGAAAAAGTATGTAGTCTAAACCTTTGATAAAAAAAATATACAAATATAAATGTTAATAACTAAATAAGCAATTTTTCTGTGTGTATTATTTTATTCTTATAAATTACATGTATTTGCGCTCTGGTAGTAATTTGTCAACTTGATAACAACGAATATGCATAGGAATATCATCACTGCTTGTATTCCAAATACCTCCAGCACCAACTTCTTTGTACTGAACTTTGAAAAATCTTATTTCTAATCCATTATTTGGTGGAACGTACCAACGAACCATCACAGAATTTTCAGTTAAACGTGTAACATTTGGCTTAGAAGGTGGAATCATCTCTATGTAAAATTAATTTAATTTATCAATTAATTATTTGTAAATAATCTTAAATATTTGGATTTTTTATTTAAAAAAAACTATGTTTTATGCCTTTTTTCTTTTTTTCTTTTCTTCTATTTTTTCCTTTATGAGTTCGGTCTTTTCTATCACGTTGAGGAGAATGAGTTGTATTATCTAATAAATTAAAAAAAAAAATGGTTATTGTATAGATTTTTAAGAATTACTTTCACATATTCTATAGATAAAATATTAAGTTATTTCAAATAAATTGAATATTATAAAAAAAAAAATATTCAATATAATTCTTGATCTAAATTTTATTATAAAAAAAAAATTACCATCAATAAAATGTTGCTGTTTTTGTTGATGTGTTAGATACATAATTTGTTTAGGGTTTACTTGAAGTGTAGAAGACCAAAATGAACATCCTAATGTATTACAAGCAAAACACTGTATGAAGCCAGAATAATTCTTTGGTGTATTATTTAAGGTCAAAACACCATCTAAAAATAGTATATCAAATAATTTTTTATAAAAGTTATAAATAAATAATAATATTAATAACACAGTCAAAACAAATTTTACCATTGACAATAATATTTCTATTATTTGTTAAAATTTCACCATTTAAATACCAAGAAATTTTTGGAGTTGGTGTGCCAACAGCTTCACATTTTAGTATTTCTGATGTACCTTCATTTATAATTACAGGTTCATTAGGTCCATTTTTAATATTTGGTGATTCTAAAAAAAATATATACATATATGTATATGTATATATAAATTAAAACAACTATATTTTAGTTTAAAAGCTAAATTAAAACCTTGAACTTCCAATTTAATTTCGTAATTGATTCTACCATTTACATTCTCAGCAAAACATTCATATACACCAGAGTCTTCTATGCTAAGATTGCTAATAGTTAATAATCCTGGCTCTATAGTTGTTTTATTATTATTAATGAGTATTGTTTTATGATTGTTAAACCATTGTATTGTAGGAACTGGTTCACCATAAGGGGCACATTCTATACTAATATTTGAATCTAAAATAATATATTATATAAAAATTAATTAAATAACTAATAACATAATTTCAATACATACTTTTTTGAGCAATATATAATGATGGAGGTTTAGTTATAAATTGTGGAGCTTGTGCAGTAAAACTTGAACGAAAATCAAGATTAAGTGACATAGGTGATTTTACTTCTCGAGCTACTATATTATTTGTTGCTGAGCATGTATAAACACCACTCTGTTCAGCTTTGACATTTTTTAATAAAATTGAACCAGCAGTAGACACTGGTGTTCTACTCAATGGTTCACCATTTTTATAATATTGAATTAATGCAGGAGGATCACTTTGAATGGGTTTGCCACAATTTAAAGATATTGTATTGCCAGTAGATATAGTAATTTTCTCATTAACACATAATGATGAACTGTTGAATTCTTTTAATGTTGCTAAACTGAGGGTAGCAGCAGTTGAGATTAAAGCAGCTGAACCAAATATTGCGACACATTGGTAATCTCCAGTTCGAGTAATATCGTCTACTTTTACAACAAGTCCATTATTTGAAGTAGAACGAAACAAGGCAGGTATTTCTTTAGAATTATGCAACCATTTAATATTATCTGGAGTTATGTTTAAAGCACAATCAAAAATTACTTCATCATGAAGAGGAGCAACAAGAGATTCTGGCGATCGATTAAAATGTATTCCAATACCTTTACCTGTCAAAAATATTTTATACTTATGACTAAATAAAAAAATTTCATTAACCAAAAGGCTAAATAATATATTTGAGTCGAACAATTATGCGACTTATTTTAGGTTTTTATATGAAGAAAAGAATAAGCCAGATCATTATTATACTTTTTTATTAAGTCAAAGAGCATACGCGGAAATATAAAAAGAAATTTGGAAGTGCTACATGTAATTTCTATTTAAGATCGACTCAACCAAAATTCTGATGTTAGAATGAATAACTAATTAAATAATTCATTTCGAATCACTTTTGTTTAACCATTAGGAAGAGTTACTATTGGAAAAAGTCGGCACTGGAAATTGCAATTCAAGCGATTCTCGTTTTTTACTAGTTACTACTACTTCTTTTTTTTTTTTTTTAATGTACACATGGTATATTTAAATATAAAACAGTGGTTCTTAGAGAATTTTCCCGGCTTCCCTGAGGCTTAGTAATTGACAAACGGGGTTAGAAGGAGCATAAGGGAACTAGAGTGTTATATACCAATCAACCGCTCTAAATAATATGAAATATATGATAGAATACCTAATAACAGTCTAAGATATTACAGCCCTTCTTCTTCACTTCTTAACTATAACAATTAGGAATATTACGTCAAGGTTAATGATCTCAATTTTATTGGTCAGAAAATTACGGCTAGATTATTTAATATATTATAGGTCTAATGATTTACAAACAGTTAATCTGATACTTAAGTCTAAAAGTTACAAATAAATAAAAACATTAAAAAAAAAAAAAATAGTATAAATAAACATTTTTCCCAAATTCCAAAAAAACACTATAGATACTATATATTATGTTATCATTAGTATAGATTTTAAATAATTTTTAAATCTTTTTCCTCATTTTTTAGCGAATCCCGTTAAATTTAACAATACTTTATTATGAATCATTAGATTTTTTTAAAAAATAATTAATATTCGATAAAAATTTAAAAAAAACTAAACTTTAAATGTTTTTATTATCCATCTATAAAATTATACATCACTAATAAAGTGAAACTATGAAGTAAAATAAACTTACCTAAAGTATTTTTCGAATATTTTAGAATAATAAAAATCAAAACTGTGATACGCCAAATTCTCATGATGCATCGGTTTATAAGTTAGAGCATTATGTTAATATACTAAAACATAAAAACATATTTTTAATATAATAAATAATTTAAAAGTTTAATTATTTTAATATTTTCCACTATACCTATTGCGTTTATTACCCCCTGCAACCAATGGTACAGCAAAGGAACTAAAGAGGTCATGACCCTCTCATTAGCTGCAATATTAATCTTTAAAATTAAGTAATAAGCAAACCTCAATATGGTTCAGTGAGAGAATTTTTTGTCTATGTTCTATGTCTATACTCTACTAAGCAATCCTGAACACGACACTGATCATGATATATTTTCTTTTTAACTCACAATATCTTCGTTTGGCACTGACCATAACCATAATTAGAAAACGCCGAAGATAGCTTAACACGAATTTACAATAATAAGGGAAACTTAATTTTAATTTTGAATTATAAAAATAAATAATTTCAAGGTGGAGTCTTGATCCCCTTCTACAATCGGTTATTAATTATATTTTTTAAATTAAGAAGTGGTTATTTTCATAATATTTAAGTTTTTTAAATATGTGAAGTTTTTTTTTTAATAGTCTTCCCACGCAATTTTAATGTAAGCATTTTGTTTAATTATTACTTACAAATCATTTTCATATTTGTTGAATAATAATGAAATAGATTTATTACTTATCAGTTACTATTGTTCTTTTTAAAAACCAAAGGTGGCAGATATATAAAATGCATGTATTAACTAAAATTTTCATTCTAAAAATCGAATAGAGATAATTTCTTTATTTATAAGAAAACAAAAGATACAAATTATTTTTCATTCAATCGCAATAATAATAAAATATCGAACAGTCCAACATACATATTAGTTGAAACCAAAAAAAAATTAAATTTTTTATCAAGAAAGAATTCAATGAAAACAAGAAACGATGAACGCCAGTAAGCATGTTTTGTCTTTAGACGAGTACAACAAAACTGGTGTATAAAAAAACCATTCACAAGAGATTACAGCGACCATCATGGAATGCTGAATCTTCCCCATTCCGAACCTGCTCTCGCTACTGCGAACACTGCTATTACAACTACTGTAGTTTTTTCTACGTACTACAGTAGAGCTATTTATTATTATCTAATATAGAATACATACAAACTTATTTTGCTAATATTTTTAATGATATATAACTATATAAACAGAGTAAGGTTCGCAGAGCTCAAAGCCATTTATTATATATATATATATATAGGTATATTTTATTTCAAATTTAGCACCCCAGACCTGTGCCAGTTTTTCCGATGCCTAGATTTCTACGGTTCTGCATAGAATTTCAAAATTTTATACAAATATAATTTTTGAACTGTACCTATCAATAGGTTTGGTTTGGTTTGGCTATTTTAGATTGGTTGGTTAGTATAAATTAGAACAATATATTTATAAGAAAAATTAATTTTTAAGTAAGTAGGTTAGGTTTAGTCATTATACTCAAGAAAACAATATAAAGAAACTTCTTAAATAAGAACACTTCAAGCCCCAAGAAAATATAATTTAATCTTGTAGGTTATTCAATGTTATGTAAAAATAATAACAAATATACGAAATATACTAGTTTAAATTACACTAAACAAAAATACAAATTATACATTAATAGTATATTAAATATCCAGTTGTAAAAGGAGGTACAAACTTTAATAATTTTACATTTTTCTATCAAGTTTTAAATTAATTTGTCTAGTTAANTCTTTTTAATTTTACATTTTTCTATCAAGTTTTAAATTAATTTGTCTAGTTAAAGCAAAATTACAAAAATAAAAATTTGTAGAACATAAGTCATTTTGCAACAGGACAACTCATAAATAAATGTATGTATGTATTTTACTCATTTGTCACAAGTCAAAGATTAGTAAAATGAGTTTATGTCATAAAAAACTCAAAAAAGTAATTTGATTATATTGGTAAAACTTTAAAAATCATACAAAGCTATAATATAATATGATTAAATAACGGCTATCTGTTGTATATACATATTGTTTCACCAATACTAATGTATACATTTTTTTAATCATGATACAATACATTTTTATAAACTTTGATCTTGACATTTTCCCCGAACACCACCGATTTAAATGTCAATAGCCAAGGGCCAATGTATTTTATTACGTATTTATTCTTTATGAATATACCATTTAAAAGTTCATCTATAGAGTATATTCTTTTTAATACTACAAATTAATAAATACGTTACTCAATTTGGTTGAGCTAACCATAAACATTTCGAGACTGGTTAGAAAGACAAGATTGCAATGATCACCCACTAGTCTACTGCACTAGTGACAAGAAGTTTTACAATAGATATTAAAATTACCAAGATATCACCCATCCAATTGACATGTTAAAAATTTAATTTTTTAAATTATATATTTATACAAAAATAGAAAACTTATTTTATTTTGTTTATTTAATATGAAATAATTTGTTTTTTTCTTCTGAAAACGCTAATAAGTGGAACGTTCAATGTTAACGTTATCATTTTCAAAACGTTATTGTGTTATCCTTTTATCTCTAACTTTGAAAGACATTGGTTTAAGATATATAATAAAAAATAAAAATATGGTAAACTAATTTTCAAAAATTAAACAAGAAAGAGGAGTTTCAAAACTGCAATGAAACTTAAAACGTTTAACATTAAAGACATTTGATCACATATTGTGTTTCTTCAACACAAATATTTTTATCGAACACAATAGACAAACACGCTCAAGAACTCCGAACAGGATTCTTTTGAACTCACAAACAAAGAATGGCACCACCTCTTATACTGGGAAAATTCGACATCGAATGATCCATCTTTTTGTTGTGTCTGTGTGAATATTAACTGAGAGGATACAAAAATATATAAGAATAGAATTTATAAGTTAGTAACTAGACAATAGTAACGTGCTTCTTATTGAATCACTAGTTTACCAAACATTTTTGCTATGTCTTTTAACTAAACTGCTGTTTAATTCACTGAAAAGAGTTAGAAAAAAAATTATTTTCACTGGATTTATTAGGCGCGCTTTCAGGAGATTCTGTGGCTTCTAGATAATATTTAAAATTACGGTATCGTTACTACGTTCAGGTTTTCAATTTTAAAACAATGCTGGGACCTAATAAACTTTTAATCCGTATTTGCCTAGAACACATTTTCTTCTAGGCAAACACAATTTTAAATATGAACTTAAATTGCATTCGACACAATATTCATTAATACCTAATATAAGATAATAATATAGTTCAACGATTAGAATAAAAAAAAATATATATTTATTTTACACAGTTATTTTAATATAACTTTTTTTGTGTTCATTTCGTCTCAAAATATAAACACCTAATGGTTCTACTTTATAATTTAAAGATGTTCTTCACAATAGGAATGTTAAAATCGATATAATATATCATTAGGAACATTAATCAAATATATAAGCCAATTATATTTAAATCTTACTTGTCCGAATAAACTCCCAAAAATAAAAAAAAATTCAAAAATTGGTTGGGATGTACAAGATTCTAAGTACACTAAAACTAAACATACCAGCTATAGACACATTTTTTATTTTTTTGCTCAAACTTAGTATTTTTGTAGGATAATTCAATAGTCTACATCACTAGAGTTCGTTAAAGTATAGAGAACAATGAAAAAAGTGGTTTTAAATACAATATTGTAGTACTGTTCAGAGATATCTTGCTAATGGTTAAACGAGTACATACATCTTTAATCATTCGCCCACATAAAATTGAGCTGTCAGAAGACTCACAGTTGGCGAAGAAATAGTTCACATACACTTTAAAAAAGTGATTCTTTATCTTTTTGACTTCTTTATTAATCGGACAAAAAAATAATATTAACAGATTTTTATTGGTTTCTTTTAACTGCATGTTTTTTCAATATATTAATCATGAAGTATTTTTATGTATTAGCTTCGATGCGAAGCTGAGAAGGTATTGGTTTTACTAAGATGTGTTTTTTTTTTTTTTTTTTTTTTTTTTTTTTTTTT